CCACACTGCTAGAGCACCAATATCTTCAGTGATCTCATCATGGGGTCCCAAATCACTTTGACCCCACATACAACTAAATTAAATACATCCCCCAGAATTTGGTTAGGGATTGGATTGTTTTGATCTGTAGGGCTTTCATGGTCTGATTTCAGAAGTGGGTTACTTCTTTCTGAGCCTTTATTGCTAGTCCCTCTTAGTCTGGAAGTTCTCCTAAAGCCCCATCAGCATCATAGTCATATGTCAACCTCTATGGACAGGTGGGTAATGGCTATACATTAAGTTCATTGTGTGAAATCAAGCCCAATTCTCTTGAATGGAAGGCGAGATTTTGAACACATCAATGAATCGTCTTTAAATATTCTCATAGCAGATTGTACCCGTGGTGATTGGTGAGATAATTAAAGAGACACAAGCTGAGAAGTCAACTGAGTCTGCTCCTCTCCTCTGCTTCCCTCTGTCACCAATTTCACCCATCCCTCCTCTTCCTCTGCAGATGTTTAGGAAGCAGGAATAAAAAAATAGGCTAACTAGGGACTCACTTCCAAGGTTAAGGTGGAAGGAGTGAATGGACAGATCAGGCACTGGGAATGAAAACCAAAATAAAAATCACGGCCATCGGGTCAATTCCGACTCATAGCTCTGCTGTGGAACACGGTAGAACTGCCCCTGTGGGCTTCCAAGGCTGTGACTTTTTACAGGAGTAGGAAGCCTCATCTTTCTCCCTTGGAGCAACTGGTGCCTTCGAGCTGCTGACCTTGTGGACAATAGGGTTGGGGAAAAGGATAAAGGCAGGGATGAGCTCCTGAAAATGATCAGAAATGTCGAGTAGGCCTTTTAAACTGTGTCTGGGAAGATGAGTCCTTGCTTCCAATCTTGTGGGCTTGCTATGGGTCCAAATAAGGCTCCTGGCCAGTTCCATGGCCAGTTTAAATGAATACCCAGGGCCCAGGGCCTTCTAACAACTCATCCTTCCTGTGGGACTTACATAATCTGGTGTCAACTTGAGAAGGGGTGGAGTCTAGCCTGTCAATCAGGTCGCAGCTTGATGACCTCATTTGGAGGTGCAACAAAGATAAATAGCTCCCTGGAGACAGGACAC